CAATGCTTAAAGAAACATGCAAACAGAGTTAAAAAATTCTAAAAGTTGATACTATTTTTGTCAATTTGCATCCGACAGCTTTTATGAATACTGGTTTTCCACGTTTGTTTTATTGATATAACAATGTTTGATATATAATATGTTTTTACTAGCTAAAAATAATGATGAATTATTAAACTTTCATTAATAATGCCTGAAGGGTATAACAACTGAACTGTAATGTAGTGGTAGATGAAATACAGCAAAATGTCCTACATTGGAAGTTTATTTGCATACTGACTATAGAGTGAAGTGGCCCCAGCAAAGATCGTTTTGGTATGCCACATTTACTGCACTCCTTCCTTGGGTTAATGGATTTTAATGTCACTTCGTAGTCTCCTTGACTACATTCTTTATTTATAACACGGAATAATTGTAGGAGTGTCGCTGTTTATGTTCTCTGTTGCTGTTTTTGATATTCAAAACGGCATTTTAAAGTGCTACTTGCATGAAAGTGGTCTTATTTCAAAACTTCAAGCAATACAAATATATGACTCATTTTTATCTATTAAAAACAATTGAGGGAAAATATTCGTTTTGGAGTTATCCCACATAAGAGAWATTTTGATTCAAAAGATGGAAGAACAAAAGGATGGAGTAGATGACGTCATCTAMTCCAACATTTTTTGCCCAAAATATTAAGGATTTGTATCAATATCTTGTTGAGATCTGTTGATTCATGATTATTAGACCCATATAGATAGGTCTATTTGATTTTCAAGTCTTTTCTAATGTTTTGCAATTTTCGTCCAAGTAGACCTTTAAATGTCTTGTATTCTTCTGCAGTAGATAACAAGATTCAAGGCATAATTTCCATGGACTATAGATTGAAGTGGCCCCAGTATAGATCCTTGCAGTGTGCAACATTTCACTACGATGCTTCTTTGTCTTTTTCCTTTGCACTTCTTATCTATCTGTCCTTTCGTTGCCTTCTTGAGTGCATTCTTCATTGTTCTTTCATTTCTTCCTTTTTTTCTCGCTTTTGACWAATTGTTTCTTTCATTTGCTTTCCCACTAATTCTTTCATTTGTTCCTTTTTGAAGAAGGTCGGTATTAGATTTCACTTTGGAGGGAGGAAACTGTTTTTCGTTTGTTTGTTTTTCGTCTTGTTTTTTTTTAGAATAAATAAAGAAAACTGTCATTTTTTCATGAAAAAACTGCACACATTGAATAGGACAGCGTTTCAACAGTTGGAAATTATTTCACCAAAACACTGCATTAATATTTTTGTATATACTTTCAATGTTGCTGTTGACAACATCGCATGGTTCGAAACAGCTGCAACAGGGCATTTCGCATGTCTTGTATTCTCCAGAAGTAGATGACTGGATTCAAAGCACTGTTTATAAACATAATTGTGTGTGTAAGGTACCACGCAATAGCGCTCCTTTTTATAACAAAAGATTTAATTTCCTCGCTTAGGACGGGAATATAACAAGCTGCCAGCGTACCCATGATATAATACATTGTGTTCACAGTTTTCTTGTATCCTGGAAGGTCCAAGCTTCCCTGTACTGCTTGCTCTTGTGCATGGATGGTTGCTGAATGTTTACTTACAGCTCGAGAAATTTTCACCATTAGGGTTATGTTCAGAATAACCAAAGTAGCCACAACAGAAAGGTAGAGTATTTTGGCAATATTAAACCATTGAGTGAGAAGCCCAGACAAGCCAAAAATCCAAATAAAGATCAAAGCTGTAAAGGACCTCTGCGTTGTAACAAGTTCTTGATATCTTAGGTGCAAGTTAAGAGCAAGGAAGAACCGGTCGATAGTGATGGCAGTAATCGTGAGAAAAGAGGAAAATACGAGCACCCAACCGCTTCTTTGAGTTATGTCAGTGCTCATATCAAAAAGGGAAGGGCATGCTTTCATTGTGGCAAACAAGTTAACGCAAAAAACTGGCTGTACCATAGCCNATTCTCTGGAGTAACTGAGGGTATATCCAGGAGATAGAGCTATTTACCCTTCCTAGAACCGGACACTGATGTTAAGTGCATTTGGTGTCACTTTTAGGTACTAAACAATCATAATGAAATTTGACAGCGGCTTCCTCATTTTCACCTGCAAACTGTTCATGCGAAATTAATCGACTTAATACAGTCAACACACTAAAATGGTTTCTTTCTTTCATAACCTGTTTCACGTGAGGTGCCGGCGTAGTTAGACAATGTGGTAAGATTGCTCATAACGTAAAATGGACTCAAATGGAAGGAATATAAATTTCGAAGTTTACTTCGAGTTTTGAAAGTCAATTGGTCTTGCCGCAATGCTTAAAGAAACATGCAAACAGAGTTAAAAAATTCTAAAAGTTGATACTATTTTTGTCAATTTGCATCCGACAGCTTTTATGAATACTGGTTTTCCACGTTTGTTTTATTGATATAACAATGTTTGATATATAATATGTTTTTACTAGCTAAAAATAATGATGAATTATTAAACTTTCATTAATAATGCCTGAAGGGTATAACAACTGAACTGTAATGTAGTGGTAGATGAAATACAGCAAAATGTCCTACATTGGAAGTTTATTTGCATACTGACTATAGAGTGAAGTGGCCCCAGCAAAGATCGTTTTGGTATGCCACATTTACTGCACTCCTTCCTTGAGTTAATGGATTTTAATGTCACTTCCTAGTCTCCTTGACTACATTCTTTATTTATAACACGGAATAATTGTAGGAGTGTCGCTGTTTATGTTCTCTGTTGCTGTTTTTGATATTCAAAACGGCATTTTAAAGTGCTACTTGCATGAAAGTGGTCTTATTTCAAAACTTCAAGCAATACAAATATATGACTCATTTTTATCTATTAAAAACAATTGAGGGAAAATATTCGTTTTGGAGTTATCCCACATAAGAGAWATTTTGATTCAAAAGATGGAAGAACAAAAGGATGGAGTAGATGACGTCATCTAMTCCAACATTTTTTGCCCAAAATATTAAGGATTTGTATCAATATCTTGTTGAGATCTGTTGATTCATGATTATTAGACCCATATAGATAGGTCTATTTGATTTTCAAGTCTTTTCTAATGTTTTGCAATTTTCGTCCAAGTAGACCTTTAAATGTCTTGTATTCTTCTGCAGTAGATAACAAGATTCAAGGCATAATTTCCATGGACTATAGATTGAAGTGGCCCCAGTATAGATCCTTGCAGTGTGCAACATTTCACTACGATGCTTCTTTGTCTTTTTCCTTTGCACTTCTTATCTATCTGTCCTTTCGTTGCCTTCTTGAGTGCATTCTTCATTGTTCTTTCATTTCTTCCTTTTTTTCTCGCTTTTGACWAATTGTTTCTTTCATTTGCTTTCCCACTAATTCTTTCATTTGTTCCTTTTTGAAGAAGGTCGGTATTAGATTTCACTTTGGAGGGAGGAAACTGTTTTTCGTTTGTTTGTTTTTCGTCTTGTTTTTTTTTAGAATAAATAAAGAAAACTGTCATTTTTTCATGAAAAAACTGCACACATTGAATAGGACAGCGTTTCAACAGTTGGAAATTATTTCACCAAAACACTGCATTAATATTTTTGTATATACTTTCAATGTTGCTGTTGACAACATCGCATGGTTCGAAACAGCTGCAACAGGGCATTTCGCATGTCTTGTATTCTCCAGAAGTAGATGACTGGATTCAAAGCACTGTTTATAAACATAATTGTGTGTGTAAGGTACCACGCAATAGCGCTCCTTTTTATAACAAAAGATNGAACCGGTCGATAGTGATGGCAGTAATCGTGAGAAAAGAGGAAAATACGAGCACCCAACCGCTTCTTTGAGTTATGTCAGTGCTCATATCAAAAAGGGAAGGGCATGCTTTCATTGTGGCAAACAAGTTAACGCAAAAAACTGGCTGTACCATAGCCCCAACACCAAAGTCAGACAACGCTAAAGAAACAATAAGAATATACGAAGGTGTCCACATTGATGACGTCTTAATAAAAGTTAGAATGATGAAGAAATTTAAAACGCAAGCTATAACGGAGCTCAAAGCGTTGATAACAATCAAAGAGGTGCCAAAACCTGTCCCAAGTCTTTCCAAGCTGTCGTTGCTCGGCGGTAGAGTGAAATTGTTCATAGCGGAATATAAACTTATGAAGGCTGAAACGCAGAAKATGAATTTCGAGGTATACGGCAAGTTTTTAAAGTCAATTAATCTTACAGTGAGACRTAAGGCAAACAGTTATAGAACGATAAAACCTGTCATTTATTTTGTCTTTTGATTCTTGTGTCTTTTATGAATGCTGATCACTTTYGTTTATCGATGTGACTGTTTCTGACAGAGTTTTTGTTTGCTGACATACTGATGACGTTGACATTGCTAAACGTTCTGTAATAATGCCTTAAAGGATTAACAGCTGAAATGTAGTATAGATGAAATAATACAGAATTTGTCTTAACATGGAAGGTTATTTACATGGACTATAGAGAGAATTGGCCCCAGTAGAGATCCTTGGCATGTGTTATCCCACATTTTACTACGATCTTCCTTGGATTAACGTCTTTTTTCCTTGCACTCCTCTTTCATCTTTCCCTTTGTTGACTTCATGATGAATTCATTCCATTGTTTCTTCTTTTCTTCCTATTCTTCTCCATTGAAAAAGTTGTTTCTTTACTTTTTCTTTCCAATATTCCTTTCATTTCTTCATGGAAGTTTATTTGCATAGACAATAGAGTGAAGTGGCCCCAGTAGAGATCCATGTGGTATCCCACACATTTTACTCCACTTCCTCTTTGACTTAATGCCTTTTTGTCTTGCACTCCTTACTGACGTCTCTTTGTTGTTCTCAGTCATAAATGCATTTTTAGTGTCCCTTCACTTCTTTCTTTTTTCTTGCTTCAAAAAAATATCCTTGTATCTTACTTTTCCTTTCCTATATTCTTTCATTTCTTTCTTAGACATAGATAACATTTTTTGGTTATATTGTTGTAAGGTTGGCATTTTTTGATTATTTTCCATTTAATGTTATAGTCTTTTTTTCCTCTTTCAATTTCCAGATTTACTTTGACAGTTCTGTTTTGTTTCTTCGTTTTGACACTTTAAGTGAACATTCGTGGTTTCTGTATTGTTCTTGGAAAGTTATGGCTAGTCCTATGTATGTTTCTTTTATCGTTTCTGTTGTAACTGTCACTTGGTATATGACATTCGTCTGCAGATATTTTCCTTCTAAGGAGCAGTCGCTCTTGTTTCTGCAGTTTCATTCTTTGTCTGTTTGCACTTGTTCGGTGTTATTTGTTGATAGTACTTTTTTGTTGTGTGATGAGATTATGGACTTTACGTTGGGCATGCAGGAATAGCTGAGTTTTAGGGTGTGCTTGTTAAAG